TTCTATCATGTGCTTCTTGATAGGAATTCAGTTTTGTCCCATCTAAATTTTACAAATTACTCCCCTCAAGGAGAGGGCAACCATAGTTGCTGGATGCGTGTTCTTCAGAGGATGTGTTTGTTTTATTAGGTTCCTTTTCTTACTATTACTGTGGGTTTGCAGTGGCTACCAGAAAGACTCATACTCTCCTTTTGAAGCAGCTTGTTCATAACATTATTTTCTATTGTTGGGGAAATTTAAAAAAAATGCATGACAAAGAATCTTCTGGCAGCCACACTAAATAGATTTTCAGCAGTTTATTAAACTGGGGACAGACTTGAGCCAGGCTCTGGGAACTTACATAACTTCTGTCTCCCCAAATTTTTGAAAACTTCAGATTGAGGCCTCCATGTATGTCTTACTAGTAGAGACTCCTCTTTATTGTTAAAATGTACTTTATCAGAATATCCCATTAAAAAATAAAGGATTTGAGTCCAAACATCAGCATACAGGTAATTCAGGGGTACTTGATAAAAAACTGAACGGTGCATACAATAAAGAAAATTGGGTAACAGAATCAGGCCTGAAATCAAGATGCACTAAAGACATCCAAGAATTATTGCTATAGGTTTAGAGGGGAAATTTAGCTTTTTAAAAAAAGCTAAAAATTTGAGGTCCGTTTCATGGATACAATTCTCAAAGTTGTGAAGAATGAATTTTGGTGCTAATTTTTACACTGTCTAGCTCCATAGTTATCTTGGTTATGCTGACTACGTAAATTTTTTGGGGGATGTGTCTGTAGAAGGCTGGTGTTGAGTCTGTAACACTGACACTCTGATATCTTTTCCTCCTCTTTCAGCTAAGCAACTATTGGTGAAGATCAAAGAAAGGGAGGAGGAGGGCTGACAAGAAACAGTGTATGAGAGATGCCTGCACAGCTTTAATAAATAAAAAGGGGTTAAGGCTTCAAATATCTTGCAGGATATCTGTGAATGTGGGGCCCTGTTTTGCTGTAACAAGCTACATTACAGCACACTGTCTTATTTAGACCTATATGACTGATACTTTGAATATTAATATATATTAAGAAAGAAAAATTATAAATCACTGGAAATACCAGAGAATATTAAACAGTTGCTAATCTACCAGAAACCACTCATTTTTCACCTCTGTTTTTTGTTTCCCTCCACAGCAAAATTAGATTTGTGGCTTTTAATGTGGGTGTCTAGTTTGTTTCACTTTCCAATTCACAAGAGTTGAGGAATGTATGATAAGAGCCTAACTTTCCTTCCCTCCAGAAAACAGCAACTCTACGTTGAAACTTAACAAGATAAAAAGGAAAACAGAAGATAATAAATACAAGGTAAAAATTCTTTCACAGTTTGAAATATTGTCAGCTAAAATAAGGCTTTTCAGGGCTTTTCACAGGAATATTAATGAGACCTCACAAAAAGTATCAATGTGCTTGTGTTACATAAATAGTAAAAATGTTTGAAACAGAGGTAAGTCAGGAGAGCAGCATTATGATCCATGAGACATGGCACTTCCCAATACACTGAGAAGATATGACACTGTGTTTCTTCTTCTTGAGTAGAGACAAGCTGCAGTTCTGTATGAGGGGCTGGAGGTGAGGTGGATTCTATTCTAAAGTCCTGCTCTCTCTGGCCCTATAGATGCAGCATGCTTAGGCCTTGTGTTAATGCTATAGATGTTACCCCAATAGATTTGTGTCCAAACTTACCTTCTGTTTTCAAAATTTATGTGCTGGCTGTCCAAACATTTGGCAAGCTCTTGCTAAGAATATGCCCACTAAGGTTTTTTTATGCCATATACTTTTAAATTATTTATACTTTCTTGTCGCCTCCTTGCTATGTTTCAGGTGAGTGTGAATAAAACTATCAGTAGCTAATCCTGAAGTTGTGTATATGTAACTGAGTGTGTTTCAGCTTTGTTGGTCCTTCAGGGTGTAAAACAATAGTAACATTACTGATTAGTGACTTATGATACACTGAAATCAGAAAAAAAATTTCTAAAATTTAAGTAAAAAATGATCTACCAACAACGAACTGGTGTATATGTGAAAATGGAGGTAACTATGGTGCGGCATGAAATTTTTATTATACAGGCTTGTGATATTCCCCCTGCTTGCAAATAGTGAACATGTAAACGAGTTCTGTAGCTCATTACAAGCAAAATGCCAGTCAGTGCTCTGTGCCTTTTCTTTCAGCTAAAATGGTAATCTCACTGTTGTGGGATTCTACATGAACAACACTTGGACATATTATATGGACGTGTGAGCAAAGCCTGATGTCTTCGTTACTGCGGGTGAGACTTCCCACTGCTCTGATATGGGAGCTCTGTCCTTGGGTGTCCTGGAGATACCTTTGAGCAAGCCAGTGCTGCTGACTGGTTCTCCTAGCCAGGAACGTGGGGTCTGCCTGGGAAAAGGGCTATCAACAATCCAAGGTCATCTGTGCCTGTTCTCACTGTTTGTTGCTTTTGCTGGTAGCTGATAAAGGCCCAACATCTGAGTAACAGGAGCAGCCAGGGAAGCATGTGTGGCTTCATCCCGTTTTTGCAATATGCTCCCTGCCAAGCTGCACCAAGAGCTCCTTGCCTGCAGAGCAGGAATGGGCCTATATATCCAACAAAACAGGACCAGAGGGACTCATTAAACTTCCAAACATGACCTCAAACAGGGTTTCTTAATTATCTGAAAATGTCACCAGTTTGCATTAGAAAATCTCAGGGCTTACTAGAGCTTGGCCAGATTTTGGTACCTTCTCTCAGTAACACAAATCTATCTCCTGTTCTGCAGTGTGATACAGTCCTAGGCTATTTTTTTCTTATGTGTGAAGCAAAATCATTATCACACAAGTGAATATTGCCCACCCTACAGTAAGTATTCGAATGTTTGCCATTGAGGGAATATCACAGCAACAAGAAAAGTTGAACCAGAAATCCTCACAGTAGTGAGATGGGGTGTAGTGTAGGTTGCTAGTCCGTGGTCGCCAGTTCAGGTGCACGCTATGCCGTTTGTTTCTTTGCAGCACACACATCAACTGTGCTTGTGACAAGTCGGCAGTTTGTGGTTAGCTTTTCCTGTGAGCAGTCAGAGTACTGAGCAGGGAGGTCTGAAGTTGCATTCAATGTCACCTGGACCGCTATGATATTAAATAATATAATGTAATATGATAATGGAAATGTTCTTAAAGATTACTTCCCAGAACTGTTTTGGGATAGATCTCAGCATCTTGGCAATTCTCCAGCTAACAGAAAGCTTATTTCTCCTAAGCAGTGCCTGTAACCAAATGGCTTAGATTGCTTTGATGGAAGAGATGCTTCCCTCCAGGGATATATGCCTGGCACAGTACCTAGTAGCTGGAGTTGACTGAGTAGCTGGAATAGGCAAAGTTTTGGGAAGAGGGACCCTAGACAGATTCTAAATTTTAACTTTTTGCAAACTTCTGATGAATCCTTAATGAACGGAAAACTGCTGCATTACACTTGTTTACCTGTCCTCACTGTGAGGAACAATTATACTCTTTCTCTTCTCCATTCATCTTCCTTTTCTCTCTTGCCCCAGTATTGGGAAGTTTTATTTTGTAAAGTAGTTGAGGAGCAAGAGAGATTTTGGTTGTCTTTGCTTTTTCAAGTTCAGCCCAGAAAGACTGCTATTTCAACTTCTGGTACCATCTCACAAACATCATACTTCCATTCTGTTATTCAGTAAGTTGTGAATGAAAATGTTTTTCTAGTTTCCTCACTTTTACTTCTTTGACAGTAGTGTGTTTTAATAGTCTTTAGTTGAGTTTCTTCTGGATGTATAGATGCTAAGAATGGGGATGCAGGCTTGGTTTTGGCGGTGCTTGTTTGTGTTTTTTAGAAGGATAGAGGATGCCTCAAGAGAGAGACCTTTGAGAGTGGGAGAAAAGTATGAGATGACAAAGCTGACATTACTATCAGATAAGTAAAAAACTTCTTTGTTTGATTCTGCTCTTGTTGGCACCTAATTTACACTGGAGCAATTTCGTAAACTTCAGTGAGTTTACTTCTGAGAGTGAGATCACGATCTGAGAGTGAGATCAGGATTGACACCTCTTAAATCACTTGGGTCATGCTCCATAATTCATTGGCAAGTTCCTTTAATTAGTTGCAGGTAAACCCAGGCTTCCTGGAGTTCGCTGCCTCCCCAGGAATGGGCTCTGCCTGCTGCTCCCTGCCGCGCTTCGGGGTCCAGCCTCCGCCTTCTGTCTCATCGCAGGACTGTATGTCCGGTGAAACGCGGCTCAGGGCTCTTCCCCCCGCGGCTCCCTGTGCCGGACGGAGGCGGGGGCCCGGCTCCTGGCGCGCCAGAAGTTGCTCTGTGGGAGAGAGAAGCGGGGCTGTGCAGGGCCGGCCGGGCGGTCCGGCCGCCGCGCGTTATGTAAGGGCGCAGGGGCTGCGGGCCGGGATGACTGACAGGGAGAGGGAAATTCCTGGGGGAGGGGGAGCGGCGCTGCCCTGAAGCCGCTGCCAGAACCGGCGGCTCACGGAGACCTGGCGGGGAGCGCGGCTGTGCAGAAAGGGAAGCGGCGCGGGAGGGACGCTGCCGGGCGGCGTGCGGAGCGAGCGGGCGAAGCGGGCTCTTCCCCCGGCGGGGCAAGCCGCCTGGGAAACAGGGGGCCAACGGCGGCGGTGCGAGGGGACGAGGAGCGAGCCCGGCTTCCCCCCTCCCGGCGCGGCGCGTTCGAGCTGGGGCCGGAGCGCGGCGGGGAAGTGCCGCGCTGGAGCCCGGGGTGCCCCCCGGCGCAGCGGCGGCCCCGGCGGCGGCGCTGCCCCTTTAAGACCTGCTCGCCGCCAGTTCCAGGGAGAGGGAGTGACCTCTGGGCTTTGACAGCTCCCCTAATAACTAGCAGCGCCCTGGCCCCGCCCCCGCCTCGCCATTGGCTGGCGGGCCGGTATGCCGCGCTGCCATTGGCTGGCCGCTTCCCCTGAGCGAACCTTTAGAACTCCGAGACACAATATTCTGTTACATTGTAGCAAAATGGCGACTGTCATTCACAACCCCCTGAAAGCGTAAGTAGGAATCAAAAATGTACATATTCCGCGTGGTTTAAATATGAAAAAAGGCGCCTTTCCGGCGCCGGCTGCCAGCCGGAGCCGGGTGCCGGCAGCCTCTCGGCGGGTCCCTCCTCCCGCCCTCCTTTCTGCCCCAGCGACTCGCTCGTTTTTTGTGCAACACATCCCCGCGGCTCGCGCCGAAATTAACGAGGAAAAAATTGTTGGGTTAATTGGCGCCCGGGCGCGGGGCGGGGGGCGGCGGGCCGGGGGGCGGTGGCGGGGAGCCCGCCCGGCTCTCCCGGGGCTCGGCGCGGGGTCGGCGGCGGCCGCGTCCCGCGGGGGTGCGCGCACTTGACAGCGTCCTGCCCCCGCTGCCCCGGCGGGCTGGCCCCGCCACCGCGCTCGGCGGGGCACGGACCGGCCCGCGGGGGCGCTCGGTGCGCGGTGCCTCCGCGCTCCCACCGCGGCTCGGAGTTGCCTCTGCAAATCTTTGGGGAGTTGGGATGTCTTGACGAAGCAACCCTCCTCGCTTCTCGGCTGGGCGGTCGGAAAGCGGGGCGGCGGGGGCTCTGCCGGTGCGCCTCGGCGCTCGTGCAGGAGAGGGAGCGAGGAGGCGAGGCAGGGAAGCAGACTTGGGTGAAATGAATGACTCGGGACTGCCGGTCGCTGATTTTGGGCAGGAAGTCCGGAGATCTGTTTTGCATATGACAGGCTTTCGCTTTTCAAAGTGGCAAAGAGAGTTGATTGTGTTTCCATCTTGAGAACGGGCACAAGCCGCCGAGGGCTGTACGGACGGGGTCTGACCCCGGTTTGAGAGAGGGAGGGGGCAGGTACTTGTGCTGCGGAGGTATTCCGGGGTTCCCGATCTGGAAATAAGGCTGATTTCTGAGGGGCACCGCGGGAGCCGGTTGTAGTCTTCTGCATCGCGTCCTTTATTTTCCTTGTGGTCTGCAGCGCACGCCGCTAATCCCTGAAGGCATTAGGGAGAGTGGGATTTGGCACCGTATGTGGGGAGCGGAGCTATCTTAACCTTTTTCAAACGACTTCCATGCTAACGGGGGCAGCGCTCTTGCTAGTAAAGCAGGGAAGCAGAGTACCTGGCGGTGACGCTTCGCTTGCACTTTCTGGCTGCGCTGAGTGGGTGTTTTTATACCTTTGAGTTTTATGAGATGAAATTAGGGCTGCGAGGTGTTTTTTTTTTTTTTGGTGTTTTTTTTTTTTTTTCCCCCGACTCGAGTCTCTCCGGCTTTAGTTGGAAGAACACTTGAAGGTTTTTCCTGGGATTTCTGCCGCTGTCTCTCTGCGATCCGGAGCGAAAGGAAAGCCTCGAGCTGGAAGGGGTGCTGACATGTTTATCAGCTCTCCTGCTCCGTCCTGGCAGAAAAACCTTTGCTTTCATTTACTCGCCCTCTCGGATATAAAAATCCGCGGGGAGAGGGGAGCGCAGTTGCGGGGGGTTAATCAGAGAAGTCCGAGCGTCCTCATGGGTGGGTGCCGAGGGACTGAACGCGCTCTGAAAACCGCGCGGCACAGGCAGCGTTCCCCCCCCCCCCCCCCCCCCGTTCGACGGCAGGTCTGACGCTTGTGCAGGCGACAGCGAATTCTCCCCGTGTCCCTCCCGGCCGCCGGGCGCTGCCCGGGCGCCGGCAGCGCACCCGGGGCCGCACCGCCCGGCTTTGCACCTGGGCACGGAGCCCCGCGGCGTGTGCGCCGTTGGCGGCTGCTGCCGGCAGCGGGGAAGCCCGGGCTCGGTGGCCTCTGGGGACGGCGCGGGGGAGGCGGGGAGCTCCCAGGAGCGGCCACGGCCCCCGCCCCGCCGGCGGACGGGACCTTGCCGCCTCGCCTCGCACTTGGTGGCACCGTGGGGCTCCTGGCAGCCGCGGCGGATCGTGCCGAAGGGCTGCTTGTGCCGAAATGAATCGGGGCCCGATCTCGCTGCTGCTAAAGTCGGGGAGGACAGGATGAGGCCATTTATAATTAGCTCCCTTCTCCTCCCCTCGCCCCTGGGGGGTGTGAGAGGAGGAAACAATAGACATCAAGTGCTGGTTTCGCTTTTCTCTGTGTGCCTTTTAAAGTACTAAGGCTATGTGGAGGAAGCAGAATTGGTACTGGCTGTCTGACACCATCTGTAATTTTGTTGACAACTTGTTTAATAAAACATTTTATAATTTTCACTTATTCTTTAAAGTTGCTGATCGGGAAACAATACACATGTAAATAAATTATGCATGGGATAAATTAGGACAAAAGCAGTAGGACACATAATAGGGGAGGGATGCAGTGCACAGTGTTTTATCCTCATGTGTCCTTCCTGACAATGAACGGGAGCTGAATGACATTTGCATTTCCTCTGTCTGCGTTTTGATTGTATCTCAGAACCCACAAACGCCCCCTACAGAAACCGGCCATACAAAGGTTTTGCTCCGAAATGGGGGACAATGTAGGGACTGAGAAATCCGGACTCAGGTATCAAGCAGCTCCTTGTGTGTGCTTGTGCGTTTAAGAGTGTCCAATATTCAGTTTGTCTCTGGCACTTGGACACACATGTGGCCTTGTTCATGCTAGACTAGTCTCTCTGAATAATGTATTCCAGTACCTGAGCATCTGTGGGAATGCATTTCATAGAACAGCTGAGTGCGTGAAGTCCCTTATTAATGATTGGTTTCTCCCTACCCAACTTGCATCTTTCTCTGTCACTTTCTGGTTCTCTTTTGGTGCTTTCTTCCCTTTGCTTTCCTCCCCTTCACTTCCTCTGGTGAACCAGTCAACATGACACGACTGTCTGTTATTTCTGCCATTTATTAGCTTGTTGTTTACCAACATGGTGCTATAGACAAAAATATCTGAGATCTAAGTTTAACAGATCTGCAAGGTAAAGGTAGCAGGTGTTTGGACAAGCACATGCTTCTTCATCTGTAGAAATGGCAGTATTCTGACAGCTTTGATGGGACAGAAGTGGATTCGAAGTGCTGAAGTTGTTGTTGCTGGCTTTTTCCCCCACTAGTTTGTGTGTGTATCTCCATATTTTTTTGTTTCCCTCTTCTTCTCCTATGGATATTTTAATATGAAGACATTTGAGTGGTGCAGTAGAAGAAACAAACGCATTTAGAAAGTATTCTGAATTACTTCAAATGTCAGTCAGAAATCCCAGTGGACTTTGTAAACATTAATTAATTAAACCTCTCAATGCCCCTATGAAGAAAGGATTATTGCCTTTGTTTTATGGATGGCTAAACTAGGACAAAGTGGTTCAGAGTCTCTCTAAAAGATGAAGTCTAGAATGCAGGCATTCAACTTCCAGTTTTAGCATTTAGTCCCATTTCCTCCATCTCTGCCTTATTAGTGATGTGCATATGGTACCATAATGCACTTAATGTAATTAAGACCTTGTAATTTACACAGTCTTGTCTAGAAGCAGAGCTGGTTTCCTCCCACCCCTTCTCTGTCTTTACTCCCACAAATGACTTTTATTTCAGGTTGTCAATTAAACACACTAAATGGAACATAGGTTAGGTTGTTGCCATTTCAGCATGTGCAATCCCCCATGCTGTATAGCCCTCACCAGAGGGCTGCTGCCTCCCAGGAGTTTGGCAGTGCCAGTGCTCTCCCTTTTGCTCAGGGCAGCCTCTGGGACAAAAGAAGCTAACTCAGGCTCAGCTACTAGGTAAGCTCACTTCCATGCTGACTGCATTGTTGGATAACTTTGATGGACTTGGGATCACTTATTCTCTGCCAGGTGTTTGGGGAGCAGATCATCACAGATTTGTGTGCACAGTGCTAGATCTACAGCATAGAGCTGATCTACCAGGCCTGTTCTGTCTCTGCATTCCCACTGCAAACACACAGCAGCAGTTAGGTTTCCAGTTGCTGTACCTTCTCAGATAAAATTGCCTTGACAGCCAACTCTGACCTTTGGGCTGCCAAATGATCTTCCTTGTGATGATGAATTCCTGTCATGAGACACCTGTGAAGAAGTGGTCTGTGTTCGCATCCCTGTTTCACATTGGCAAGAGACCAGTCTGGGTCTTGGGGTCTTGTATGGCAAGAGTATTTCATTAGTGATTATTCTGGCTTGAACTCAGGCTGGGGACTCTTAACTGGAAGGTCCTGTATCCCATTACATATCCCTGAAACAGCCCTATGTCCTGATTAAGTGCTGATGAAGACTGATTTTTTTTTTTTTTTTTTTTTTTTTTGTGGACATTGTTGCATAAGCATCTGGTTGCTGATTTTTAATATTAAAGTGAAAGTGTAATGTGCAGTGCTGCTTTCAGCAGGTGGAAGCAATAAAATGGACAGACAGGTTGCCAGTTCATTGTTTACAAGTGATGTGGAGGTGATTTTAATGTGGCCTTGCAAAAGGGAATTTTCTTCTGCTTGACAGAACAGGGTTTGTTGGGCACGTTAAACCATGTACCAAAATCTCTACAGCAATTCCAGTGTGGCTCTGATGTTACTTAAAAGCATAAATGAGCCCTAATGTGACACACTTCAAATCAAAACTGTTGTCCACATGAAAACCGTATTTTCTAATATCTCAGCAGCAGCTTTCAGAGAAAATGGGATGAATGTTACTGTGTTTACACAAGGAAATGTAAGCATTAAACCAAAGTCATTGGAAGGTAGAAAAGGAAAGTTAAGAAGACCTGAGGATACGCTGGTTTTGAAGATGAGAGGCTCTGATAAATGGCATGTTGCTTGTTACAGTGTTACGTCTGATTCCACCAGTCGCTTATGCATGATTAGTTGTTGCATTGCTTTTGTAATTTTGTTTTGTTGGTCTTTCAGTCTTTCACAGTCTGTCTAGATGTGTGGATGGATGGAAGTTGTATCTCAAAATTGCCACTGAAGAAAAAGTTTTAAAAACATATTATTTCTGGTGTGTGAAAGCAATATTGAACTATCTGGGTTGTGCTACGGAGGCCTAAAGGTATGATTTCTTGGAGGGTGTTATAATTTCAAGGTAAGCACTTGTCCAATGGGCTGGATGCACGGTAGCCATTATACAGGATTCC